GTGTGGGTATATGCCATCAGGTTCCATGGACCTGTGTATTTCCAGTTTATTTAAATGTTTCTTAAGCTGATCCTCCCCCACCAAGGGTAAGTCTTTCTTCCTGCAGACTTTCCTGCTAGTCTCAGGGGCTTGGGATACCTCGGTCTTTTGTATGTCTCAGCAGGCCCACGTTTTCCCTAGCCTTCCTTTTGCTGTGGAGATACTTGTCAAAGCCCTTCCTGTTGCCCTTTTGACTATACATAAAACAAGGCCTTTTTCCCCATGAAAACCATCAAACATTGAAAGAAATTGCCTGGAGAGGTAGTGTATTCTCCATCCTTGGAGGTTTTCAAGATCACATTGGGTAAACAACTGAGCAACCTGATCTGACCTTTTAGCTGATGCCACTTTGAGCAGAAGGTCAAAATTGAACTAGGTGACCTCCAGAAGTTGCTTCCAACCTGAATTTGTAAATGATCCTATGATTCTAACAATTGTATGTATCTTCTGTATTAGTTTGTTCAAAGAACAATAATGAGGCACATACCTCTAGTATTTACCTATAGTAATAAATATTATAGTAATAGAATTGTCAAACTTTATAATGTACTTATTTTAGGCAGTTGTCCTGTCAAAAAGGATCCATCTGGGCAAGAATTTAAATCAGATGACAGTCAGGATGGCCTATCCAAGGTTTGTAATCCAATTTCAGCTTCGACTTTATAAAGATGCTTTAGTTAAAATGGTTAAATTACTTAAGTTGTGATAGCTTTTCATCATTCTGGATTAATTTATTGACATTACTGCAAGAGTCTTCTGTATGAAATATGAAAAGAATTTATTATGAAAATCTGTTCCTGTGTATGTTGGTTAGAGTTGTACGTATTGTTGAAGTTCTGTATCTTCTTGTTAAATCTCACATAAGATATGGTACTTTCTATGTTATTTCTGAATTAGCAAAAATGTATTCCTGATCTTACTGCTGCCAAGCAGATCATTCATCCTATGACACGAGTTTTTTTCTTTATGTTCAAAAATACTTAATTCTGCAATGATCTCTTTGATTTGATTGTTCAGTGGAAAATAATTTGACAGCTAAAATATAAAAGAATCCCTGTAGAACTAATGAAGTTATATGCTGCTGAAGGAAACCGTCAGTGGATATATAGTAGTGAAAATCAGAATAAGCTTAGAAGTAAGACACTTTTTTTTTTTTTCCCTGACCTTCATATCCTTTGTGTCTCAACCTTGTTTCTGTCTGGCATTTTCATGGGTGTAATGATGGAAATCAGTTGGAGATTTCAATTAAATTAGGATTTTTTTACATAATTTGAAACTATTTCTCCTTAATAGATAACAATAGATATTAAATATAAATAAAGAATGCAATAAACATTAAATATAAATAAATAAATAATATGTAATATGTAAAGTAGAATCATACTTTAACAGTGAGTGTTGTGAACATTATAAGCATATTAGTCTTACACTGCACTCTTCCACAGCTCTCTGTACGTGCCCAGCTTGGCGCTGCATCACAGAAATTGCTGAAGAAAGGAAAAAGTATTCCCGATGAATTACTAATTGACATCCTATTGGAAGCTATTAAGTATGAAATTGTATAGCTTTTTAAACTCAGTTATTTAGAATGTAATTATCCAGCTTGTAGTCCAGATTCAGCCATTTCTCTTTATTACGGTATTTTTTGAACACCGGTGTCTTCTACTTGGAAAGTGGAGCTAATTAGTGAAGTTAGTTAGTGCTCATTTTATGTTAATAGTAGAATGCTGGCAGTAGAGTCTAGCCTTAAATTATATAGACATTATTGTACACTACTGAAGGTAAGTAAAAATATACACTACTATCACATAGTCATTAAATATAGCTAATGTGTCTATTTTGTTGATTAGTTGGAAGCTATTCAGCACATGTTAGTGTTTTTTCTTTTAGATTTTGTGAAATGCGTAATCCAAGCATTCATACTTCAGCGGTTAAGTTACTTATTTTTGTCTACTCTTGTTTGACAGAAAATTGTCTGAAGTACACTGATGTGCAATTAGCACTTAAGTTCCCACACAAGTATCATTTATTTATTATACTAATCAGAGTAGTATAACTTATATTTTAAATTTACAAAACAGATTTTGCTATTTGTTACTTCAGTGCAAATGTTAGTAGTGAAAATGGTAAAATTACACCTCTGATCATAGTCTATATGGAGAGTGTATTTGAAAACTTTATTTATCAAGGCAGCAAAAATTGGTTTTGTTTTTGCGTTTTTCACTTCTAGTTACTCTTGATGTTATTTTTCTGATTTAAAATCCATTATTTTGCAGTTTAAGTTTTAAATATGTCTGTCATATTCTGTATTCATCAGGATATTTAACATACTGAATTCAGAATGAAAGACTCCTAGGACAAGCTCTTCTTTAGGTGTTGTTATTATGCTCTCAATTCACTGTATAATTCTGGTTTTTCATTTACTTTTAGCCAAACACCACCAGAGAAGGGGTGGATTGTGGATGGGTTTCCAATGACAATTAATCAGGCAAAACTATTTGAAAAAGCCTATACAGGGATTGATCCAGAAGCAAAAGATGCAAATTCTGGAAAGCTCTCACTTGTTATGGATCCCAGGACCCCTAACAAGCCTCCTGTTACCTCACCTGCATTTGATGTTTCTGTATTATTGGATATTTCAAACACTGTGGTACTGAAACGTGTGGCTAACTTGAAGTGTAAGTTTCCAACTACTTTTAACAAAGTAAAATGACAAGCAGGTTCTGATGTATGGGGAATGTAATGATTGTTATGATACTGAAATGACTAACTTGTGAGTAGTTTGCAACACAGTAGCAAGTCGTATATTTTAATTAAAGATACTAAATTATATAATATCTATATTTTCCTCTGACAATTATGAGATTAGAAATTGTTTAGGTTTCTTGACAGCTTTCTTCTCCATTTGTAAGACCTCTTTTAACTTTAGCTGTCTAAAAGCACATGACTAGGTATAAGTAATCCCAGACATTATTTACCAGGTATACCTGTAAGTTGTACTTATTGGAGCAAAATACCATTACTACACAATTTCTCTACATCTCATAGTATCACTTACATTAATTGTGCTTTATCACCTTGAATGCTTTCAGATTATTTCAGATACTTTTGTTTGTTTCAGTCAAAAGCAGATCAGAAGTGTGCAAGTACATGTATATATGCTTGTTTGTATTTGTACTGAATTCCAGCTGGAGCTGAGATAGGACAGTGGCTGATGTTAGATATCACATAAAACATCAGCTGGAAAATACACGTTACAGCAGATGCAGAAATAAGCCTCTTTACAAATGAGTATATGTAAACAGTGTTTTTCTCCAGGAGACAGATTAGAAAGGGATAAAGGAAATGATAAACAAAGGGATATGCCAACACCCATTCCCTGGGGGTGCTAACATTCATCCCCTATTGATTACTGCTTTTGTCTTGTCTTCAGTTAGCCAGTGAACAATCAGAAATTGTCAGTTTTGGCCAACAAAGGCAAAGACATCAAAGGCTTTTCGAGGGCTGTTTCTCTTTCAGACCACACATTTTTAATTGCCCTTACTTGCTTTGGTGAAACACAAGTTCTCTTCATGAATATGTCCTATATTGTCCAAATTATAAGAAGATTCCTCTTCATTGTTTTCACTGCAACACTTACATGGCGCATGGCTTAAATTAACACCATTTACCTTTAGCTTTTATGTATAGGTAGGAGTGAGGATAAACCAAAGTTATTAGAACTTCTGCTAACAATGTGGTGAAGATAAATATATAGACACTTGAAATTCTTGTCAATTTAAAGATCTTGTGTGCTAAAACACTTTGAAAATGTGCTAATACATGATATTATCTCAGAAATCCAAACAGAATTTATTTCATAAGATGTAATGGGGTGCTAGAAAGAGTCCAAAGAACAATAAAAAAATCAGAAATCTGTAAAAAATGGCTTATTTCTAATCAATCTAAGGTTTTTTTAGATTTAGAGAAGGCATTCCATCTTGTTTTCTGATGCAGTGGAATATCCGCCCATGTGAAAATGAGTAGTTACCTCAAGGAAGATTCAGATTAGACTGGGAAAATACCTTCTAACTGTTGGAATAGATAAACCTGAAATAGTCTGCCCACAGGAATGTTCCCTCTCTACAACTGGAGATTTCTATGACTGCAAAGCACCCATCAGGAAATTTTAGTGCTATAATTGGCTATGCATTTAAACAGAGGAAGAGACGAGACACTGTCTTCAGTTCCTTTCCAGCTTAATTTTATATTTCTATGATTTTCTCTAAATTTCCTTTTTTTTAGGAAGTTTGATATGCAGTTTTTAAATGAAGAAATGTAAGATCAAGGAACACTGAAATTTTTCTTTTAATAATTTTCTTACTTCAAGTGAATAACTACCTGCATAGTTGCCTTTTTTGATACATGCTTATATATGCTGTTTTCCACACAGCCGATAAATCAAAGTCATCTCAAACTGAACAGGGGAACAACAAACAAAATTCAGATGCTGAAATCCTAGAAGAGAAGATTGACTTAGTCAGGGACCAGGTGCTACATAGGTATGTTATATGAAGTACAAAAAAGTTGCTTCAGCCAGATGTTTAGGCATGTAATTAATCTGAGTCTCATACGTGATCCATGATAGTACTGACATGCCTAATGTTAAGAATTCGTTTATGAGTTTCTCTAACATGGAGCCTAAAAAGTACTTTCATTTCTGGTGCAATATAAATAATCCTAGAAGATAAAAATTTATGTGTTTTGCTTTCCAAGTTATTCTTCCAAGGAGAATTTATTTTTCAGACATACATTGCATGAACCATATGTATATATATATATATATATATGTATCTATGCATACATATATTTGAGATATGTCTCACATCCTCTGACTGCATTTGAGTAAAATGCACTTGATTTCAGATTTTCTAAAATGGTATCTTCTACTTTTACATTTATAAAAAACAATTAGTTGTGTATTTTCTATTGAATCATTAGATGTTTAACTTTATATAAAGAGCAAAATCAAGAACAAGTTTTGTTTCTAAATATTTCATACTATTAACTGTTTCAGACTATTATTGGTTTAGTTGTGATATAAGAAAGTAGGTTTAGCTTGTGACAAGAGGGAGTAAGATATATATGACTAGTTAACAGTAGAATTTTGAAAATTTTCCTGTATTGAAAATGAAGGGTTTGATGTGGATGGAGTATTATTTTGCAAAAAATATTGCCTGGATTTGTTTTAGATTAAATTAGATGTTTTGCTTTTTCTTTTTTTTTATTAATTTGGGAAAATGTTTCATTTTCCATAGTTAGATTTTAATTTTATACATTAATATGATTTTTGTAGAATTACAGGTTTTCTAGACACATGGCCAAAATTAGAGAAATGGTTTTCAGTCCATCAAAATATTCTAGTGAAAGTCAATGCAGAGACAGAAGAAAGTCTCATGTGTGAAACAGTGAAGGACATTATAATGGAAGAAATTGCCAAAAAACATAATACAAGTAAGTTTTCCTGTTCTTTTTTTTTTTGCGATTCAGTCAGAAAAGACTTTGTTCTTTATAAATAACACTAATAATATATAAAACTATATGGAAGCGTACATTTTCACTGGCCCTACAAGACCTTGGGGATGTGCAAGTTAGTGATAATTGCACCAGAACTCTGAACTTTTCTGTTGTGTTTTTACCTTTTCAAAGCATATGGACAAATTTCACATAATTATTAAGATCTTTTGAGGAAAAATTTTTAAATATTTAAAAGAAAATGTCAACCAGATTTATTTAAATTCCATGAAGTAAAGGATTACTAAATTCAGTCTTTTCTTCCTGGTTTAAATATTACAGCTAGATTCTTCACCATATGTGATAGCATAATGATATAAGAAAGTCTAACTTGCTGTTATCAACATATATTCATTTATCAGCAGCAGTTTAAAAACATGCATAACTTGGAGTGTTTTTGACATGTGTTTTGGTGCATCTTTGTTCCATTTTTCATCTTAATCACCAAAAAGGAAAGAATTGTTTAAAAATAAAAAATGAAAAAAGATGAAGTATCCAAGGGAAAAGATGCATCAAGCAAGCTAGTAGACTTCTGAATAACCAGGTTTTTTCTTCATAGTTATTACAAGAAAGTCTTGATGTGTCTTCTACCACCAAAAAAAAAAAAAATTGTTAGCCTGAAAAGTACTCTTAACAGTAAAAGTTTAGACCACTTCTCCTGCACAAGGTTTCCAGTTCAGGAAAGATTCTTGGAAATATCACACCTGACAGAAAACTGGGTGAAGCGTTTTCAGAGAGCTACCTGGTTAGAATTGGGGGTTTTTGTGCTTGATATAATTCATAGCCCTGCTGCAGTAAATGGCAAAATTCCTGTTGATGCAAATGGAGTTGAGATTTTCTGGTTAGAATCAAGCTATCTTGTAGAAGTATTGTAAGGACTATTTGCTCCCTATGGAGAAATAATCATGTCAAATGTCATATTTATGTTGATAGATTCCAAGCTGTCCTTCACTATTGGTTTTATATAAGCAGAACAGAGCATGAGAATTTGTATTAATTAGTCAGACATAAGCACCATTCTGGGAGTGACATGGTAAGGCTAAACCCAGAGATTGGTTTTCAAAATGTTTAGCAGAAGCTGAAGTAGCTGGAATATTTTATGTGGCCAACAGTTTAATTCTTTTTATAAACTTAAATCAAGAGAATGATAGCAGTTTTTCCATTGAAGCACCCAGCAATACAGTGTTTTTTAGAGGTAGATTTGTCATGCTTAAAATAAAACAAAACACGTCTGTTCTTTAAATGTTAAGCTTCTTTGAAACAAAAAGATGACTGTTACAACAGTGGCTTAATGCAAGCCTATTTATTTTCTTTGAATATTTTCAAATTCACAGCAAAACTGGCCAGAATTCATGCACATGATTCTGAACAGTTAATTAATGTTAGCTTGGAAAACTAGTTGTTGTAGGATCCTTCTATGGTCACTGAGGAGATGCTGATATCTTTTCAGAGATCAGTTCATATCCTAGGATTGAATTGTGCTCTGAAGCTGCTAACCACATTCAGTATTATTTTGCTATACTATATGTTGGCAGGGGTAGTTTTTCACTTGTTTCTTTCTCTACCACATGATCTTTTCTGTCTCTTCTTTTTTCCCATCCATCATCTTTCCTACTTCTCAGCTTCTCCTCAGAGGAAGGTGTGTTTTCCATATTAGGCGAAATTTAGCTCAATTTGTTTGTTTCTTCTTCAATGTTGTTTTTTTTGTTTCTTGTTCCCAAGTCTAGCGTGGAAGCTGTGTTTACAACTGTTCTTTAATTAAGCAGGGAGTCCTTGAAATCCTGATAGTTTTAATGAATCTCAGAACTGTATGAGCACCACTGGCCTTAGTTTACCTGGTAAAGAATTTGTTTCATGTCCATGCATACTAATTCATTATCTTCCTGCTTCTCTCACAAGATGGTTCTAGGAAAGTATCAGTGCTGCACAATACAAGCTTAACTGGAAAGTGATTTTATAACTATGGCATCACTGATATGATTAGTATATTTTTTGATGAAGAACACCTATGTAATGAAATATTGAATCTGTTCCATTATTTTGAAGTTGTCAGGGTAGTATAGGTGTCTAATTCTGTTTATTGATATGTAAAATACATTTGAAATTACTAATTGTACATTAATATACAAGGGTCTGCTCAAGAAATGTCACCAGGAAAAAAGGTTTTACCAGTTACACAACAAGATCTGCTTCCTCCCATTCCTGTGGCACCGCCACCAATTGAACCAGGATCAGATGAATGGATTTATGTAGATGAACATCTTCCCAAGGTACATTCATTCATGATTAAAAGTCTTAGATATCAAAGTATGTATTTTTCTCAGTATTTTATACATATTCTACCTAAATGTTTTGTCTCATTGCACATTGTTTTCTTCAATATTTTTCAGTGGAAGATACACTAGTACAGTATTATAAATATCTAAAAATAAAAATAACAATTGCTACTAAAATATATCAGATAAGGAAACACACTTAAAAATTTTGATTATTGTTTTTTTCTAAATTCTTCACAATGATGTTGAAGAATAGCATATGGATGCCAAAATAATAATACTTTTTAATATCGTGAAATACTGGCATAGACTTATTAGGTCAGTTTCCTGTCTCTGGCAAGGACCAGTTGTGGATCTCATAGCAAGAATGTAAGAATGAGGAGAGTGTGCACTGATCTTTCTCCTACGATACTTTTTGTAACGTGTTTTCCACAAGGACCTCTTCCTAGTTTCCAATGATCTGAAATTTAAGGGTTTCCTGATACGACTTTATATCTGCATCTTTGTGTTTAGTAGCTCTCAATAGAATTTTCTTCTGTGATTATGTCTAGTTGCTTTTTTTTGAAGCAATTTACTTTTTGGTCTCCATGATATAACCTGTATAATTATGCTTATTCTGAAAAAAATGTTTCTTTTTCTTTCCTTTAAATGTGTTGTTTGCTTGGGTCATTTGGTGACCCTAGTTCTTGTATTGTGAGATACAATGAATAGTAATTCTATAATCACCCTCTGAAGGTATTTAAGATGTGACATGCATCTATTACTTTTCCGTTTTGCTCAATTTGCTTTGCTTCTCCAATCCAATCATAATCTGTTTAACTCTCCTCATGCGGAGCCGTTCATATGTTCAATCATGATTCTTGGTCTTCTGTCTGTCTGTTCTAGTTCTATTGTAAATTTTTTGAGATGGGGAGATGGAGCTGCATGCAGTATTTGAGATGCAGATTTGAAGGGTGCATAATGATGCTTTGTATTTTGTTTTGTAATTCCTTTCCTAATATTTACCTGTTTTGCCCTCGTAACTGCAGTTAGCTCACATATGCTGGATTTCCTCTGGCCACGGGCTTTATTTTGCATTTGAGAGTCAGTCAGTCAGTCAAATGTCACTTTTGCAACACTAGACAGTCAGCTTAGATTTTTACAACAGTTGTGTACCACCAAATATTGATACTTAAATGCTCACTTAGTGTCTTCATTTAATTTTTGAGCATATCCAAAACCACGGATATTGGAGTATTCTACTGGAACTTCCCGTTCATTTTGAGTACTGCCACTTTTTTCCAAAGAAATGCACAGGATAAACTGTATGTTGTTACAGTGTATATAATCAGTTGTAAATAGTTTTAAATCAAAAGAAATACATAGTGAAAAAAAAAATCACTAATACGATTCCATGAAATAATCTTTCTTATATTTGCTAATGCCACAGCTAAATGAGTTACCAAGAAATGTATCAATTAACTCTGATTTTTTAAAAAATTCACAGGAGATACCTGGTTTTTTAGTACCTTACTGGGAAATGGTAGAAAACGCATATATGAATACCATCAAAACTATACTTCGATGTCTAAGGGATGAACAGCACTCTGTGATTCATTACTTAGCAGACATTAGGTGAGTAGAAATAGTAAGTTATTACAATAATACTAGTATTTTGTATTTTGCCTGTGCCATTCTGTATGTCTTTTAACACTAGAATTATTTTTACCATAATTTATAGAAAAAGATTCCAAGATTATTTGAAGTGTCCAGATCTTAAGCAGGAGTTTGTATCTCAGTGGCAATCAGATTTTAATTCAATTGCTGATGACCTGCGAGAAGATGAGGAAATAAAAGCAGAACTACACCAAAGAGTTACTGTAAGTAAATGGCAAAAGTTGTAATATACCCTAAAGCATTATTTCATTGTATATAAGCTTGATGTAACATGAATTATATCATTATTTACTTTTTTTTTTCCATTTTACCACTTCTCTTAAACTATTTCACTTCCTCTTGTACATAAAGTGTTCTTCACAACTATTTCTCTGGCTTTTGGCTGTACCTTTCTTACGTTGCTTCTTTTTTTTAGGTTATACTGTGGTATTCTGACATGTCGTAAAAGAAATATTTCTCTGCTTTTTTTTTCTTTATGTTTTAAGGTTTTCAGAGATTTTAGTCACAAGTTTTGACTTTTCTGTCACATTCTAACAAATCTTGACAGTCATTTAGTTTTTCCATTAATTATGTAAGGTAATATATATTTTCTAAAACTGATTCATAGAACATAGAGAGAATGTCTTTGAAGTGTTTTGACTCAGGTAGATCTTTGCTAGGTCATACATGTCCTGAGAGTTGTTCTTCACAAAAATCCGTAAGAATAAAGATCCTAACAAGTTCAGAGCTAGATTTCACATAAGCAGGAATTAGAGCTCTTTGAATTTATCAGATTCCCATTTCAGAACATATAATGATTTTTAGTCGCAATCGTATCAGGAAATGCTCCCAGAAAAGGGAGAAAAAAGTGCTGACAACATTGTTAGTTGAAGAGAAGATTGGTGGAATCATGGATGAATTCACCGAGACGGAAAAGGCACTGGACCTTTTTCTATAGCATTATTTCAATAGAATGAAGTACAAGACCTAAAAGTCATCATCCCTATTCCTAATTTCTACTAAATGGAATTATAAAAAGACTGGAATCCTACTGCCTTATATTTTAGAAAGCTAAAATTTAAGATATTTGACCTTTCACTCATAACAAAAATCCATGTTTGACTTTGTCCATTTCAGATTAGGTTGAGAGGAGGTGATAGTCCCATATAATGCAGTGAGACTCAGATATTGTGATAAGGCTAAGCACAGAAAGTAAGGCAGTTTGGAGTAAATATATGATTTCCAGAACTTCTGTTTGGAACAGAACTAAATGACCCATTCTACTCTGTGTGAATCCCAAGCCTCTGGATTAATGTGAAGATGATACTTCCTCTATGCTTTAAAGCCCTGCCCATTGTACCTCCCTGAATGTGAGAATTCTGTCATCCATCCTTCCTTGATGATAAAAAAGGAGACAGGGGAAATGAAAAGAGTGATAATCTGTGGAATGCTTTTTCCTCAAATATTTTCAGCTTTCCAAGACTGCTCAACTCTGTCCTCTCAGCTTTCTGAACTCTGTGTGAATCCCAAGCCTCTGGATTAATGTGAAGATGATACTTCCTCTATGCTTTAAAGCCCTGCCTATTGTACCTCCCTGAATGTGAGAATTCTGTCATCCATCCTTCCTTGATGATAAAAAAGGAGACAGGGGAAATGAAAAGAGTGATAATCTGTGGAATGTTTTTCCTCAAATATTTTCAGCTTTCCCAGACTGCTCAACTCTGTCCTCTCAGCTGGGCCCTTTCTGAAACACTGTCCGCACTGGAAGGTGCCAGGTGAAACCTGAAAACCAAATTTCCCTGATATCAACTGGAAAATGTAAAAATCCACCCTATTTTGTGATGTGTGAAATATTCCTCAATGGCCTAAAGCCCAAAGGGCAGCCGAGGCTTTTGCATCCTAAAGATCCAAACTCAGAATCATTGTGAATAAATTATGCTTCAGCAGCCCATCTCTGTTACACTGTCTTTCAGCAATTTCTCCAACTTCCCTCTCACTCCATTGCTGCCATCAAACACAGTCAGTCTCTTGCTCCCACTACTTGTTTGAGATAGTAGGACTTAGCACATGCATCCATTTTTTCTTTTTTTCAACACCTGAGTACAAGGAAAGGAGAGAGACGCTGTTTCACTTTGAAAAGAGGAAGAGTGGTGGGAGAGAAAAAGGAGAGACACATAAAACATACTTTTAGCTTCTCCCAGAGGAAGACAACTCAATGTCTCCCTCTCCAGTTATCTCCACTGCTTACAGTAAATCAAAACTGTGACTTGAATAACATGGGGACAAAGAAGAAAATGCTTCTCCTTACATGTCTCAGGAAGGTACTGGAAAGAGCTATACATCAGTTTGTACAAAACACCAGTTTATTTTGTTTGTATAGTATTGGATTTATACGGCAAGGTTATGATAGCAAAGAGTCTGCAGAGATGGCTTCTGTGAGAAGACATCAGGGGCTGCCCCCATGTCAAACAGAGCCACTATCAGCTGACTCCAAATTAGACCTGCTGCTGGCCAAAGCTGAGCCAACCAGTGATGGTGGTGGTACCTCTGTGATAGCATATTTAAGAAATAGTAAAAAACATTGCATGGCAGCTGTGACAGAGGAGTGAGAAAATGTGAGAGGAACAGCTATGCAGTCACCAAGGTCAGTGAAGAAGGAGGAGAAGGAGACGTGCAGGCACCAGAGCAGAGAATCCCCTGCAGCCTGTGAAGACTGTGGTGATGCAGGTTGTTCTGCTGCAGCCTGTGGAGAACCACAGTGGAGCGGATATCCATCCTGCAGCCCGTGGAGGACCTCATGCTGGAGCCGATCGATGTTCCCTGAAGGGAGCGGCAGCCTGTGGAGATCCCACACCGGAGCATACCTCCTGCAGCCCGTAGAGAGGAGCCCATGCAGGAGCAGGTTTTCTGGTAGGACCTGTGGCCCATGGGGGACCCTCACTGGAGCAGTACAATCCTGAAAAACTGCACACATAGAAAGGACCCACACTCGAGCAGTTCTTGAAGAACTGCTGACCATGGGAAGGACCGACGCTGGAGATGTTTATGAAGGATTGTATCCCATGAGAGGGACCACACACTGGAGGAGTTGAAGAGCGTGACGAGGAAGGAGTGGCAGAGACAATGCATAATGAACTCACTGCAACTCCCCATTCCCCATCCTCCCTGTGCCACTTGGAGGGCAGGAGGTAGAAGAGTCAGGAGTGAAGATGAGACTGGGAAGAAGGGATGGGGAAAGGTGGTTTTAGTTTTATTCTGTTTCTCATTGTTCTGGTCTGTTTTTAATTGGCAATAAATTAAATTAATTTCCCCAAGTCAAGTCTGTTTTGCAGGTGATAGTAATGGGTAAGTGATCTCCCTATCATTATCTTGAACCACAAATTTTTCCATCATATTTTCTCCCCCTGTCCTGCGAGGTGGGGGAGTGATAGAACAGCTTGGTGGACACCTGGCAGCTGGCCAAGGTCAACCCACCACTGCAAAATAGATAAAGTCGTATGCTTATATCTTTTTTACTCAGTAGCATATACTTACATGTATATCCTACAATGTGAACAACCATGAATATCTGATAGCCTTCACCTTCGCTACACTGATGTGTTAGGTAGCCTAATGACTACTCATCTGTCAGCTTCCCTGTGGCTTTTGTCCAACAGAGGACAACTGGATTTATCTGGTCTTTCAACAGCAGGAGAGAAACAGACAGGATCTGACACATCAGGCTGAGCCCAAGACCTGGTGAATATGGAATCACTTATTGCCTGAAGCCTAAGCTCTTCACGTAAGCTCTTTGTTGCAGGGCTAGTAGCCTGAAACACCTTTTCTCTTTATCCTGAAACAGGTCAGGTGAGGTAGAACTGCTTGGAGCCCGAGAAACAGTCCATCTTAGCCTACCTTAGCACTGCATTTAACAGCACTCTTCTCTTCCCATCACCTCTTGCTACATAGAGGTCTGTCACACTATTTCCATGCAAAGATGGTAATGGTGAACAGAGGGTTTGCGTGCATATTGTATGCTCAGTAGGTCTTCAGTGCTGTCAGTGAGCCACATAGTGCTGCTGTTAGATATAGTGGCTTGTTGAAGAGCCCTTAGTTATTAAGAAAGTTAAATGGCATGGAGCTATCCAAATTGGAAGAACACTTGAACTCTGACATAATTTTCTCAGAATTTTTCATATTGCACATCCCTTAGAGTATTCTTCTTACAACTGTATTAGCAAACCATTCAAGTGGAAAGTTGTTGATGCAGTTGAGAGCTTAGCTATTCATATTCTCACATCTTTGTCTAGCTTAGATACGTCTTCTCTGCCTGAGGAAAGCAAGGCAGCCTACATATTGATCTCATACTTTGTATTCTTCTCTCTAACACATTTTCAAAGCTACTTTCTGTCAGGTTTCTGTAATCACATGACTTATTGACCAGGCTTTGACATTTACAACAATAAAGAAAAAGCCCCAATTTGGAAGATGCCCTATGGACAGGCAAAAAATATGTATTTTTAATAATAAATAAAAAAAGATATTTAAGTTTTCTTTCATAGTTATTTCTTATATTTGATTTTGTGTTTTAGGACCTCAGAGATCTTCTCTGGGATATCTGTGATAACAGAAGGGAAGAAGCAGAGCAGGAACGTACTGATATCATGAATGATGGCTGGTTACCAGATCATAGGGGGATTGCAATGAACCATTTCTTTTCACTTATGCAGGTATGGATCTACTACAGAGTCTGAAATGCAATGCAACAATGAATTAGATTTGGAGACAATAAGCCTCAGAGGAATTTTATATGGTTGGCTCCAAATATGTGAGGGATTGAGAATTAGATAAACAAATGTTCATGCCTCTTCTGAATTCACTTAGAAAGTTAAGAGACAAAAAGTAGACACTCCATACATTTAACTGTTTGACATGCAGAAAAGGTTAAGAAAAACACCATTGTTATTGTCCAACCCCCCAAACTTTCAATTTGCAGTGTATAGTGCTACTTTTTGCAATTTTATCAGTCCGGTGAATCATCAGAGTTTTGTAACAGAAATGTTAGAGCTGTTTATCCTTCTGTGATCATATTGACCTCTGCTCTTAATTTGCAAATTACATAGTTCACTGCTGTTGTAGACCCACTTGCTGTTACAGTTGTCCTGTATTTCCCATATCACAAAATCGTTTCAGTTGTAACTTCACCAAGGTGGCTTGAAATTTTACCTACAGAATGAAGAAAAAACTTGCAAGGAATGTTTTTCAGAATGTGATGTCATTTGTTGCTCTTGAGAAAATCGATTCAAATATGACCCAGATTTCACTTATCTAATTTATTTAGTTTTCAAGAGACTGTCTTCAATTAGTTAGCTCTCCCTTCCCCCACATTAAGCCTTTCCTCTCATTCAGCCTGACCATTGATTATTTCAGTTCCTGAAGTAAAGTAAGATTTCCCTGTGACTGCTGTTCTAGGTGCGTAAATTTGGTTTAAGGCTGGACTGGACTGGAATAGACTAGACTAGACAGGCTTTTTTGTAAACTGAGTGACTCTTCTGTGAAAGTTTTGGCAACTTTAAAGAAGACAATGAAAACAATGTTTTAAACACATGCCACGTAATGCTAATTTGACTGAAAAATAGGGCCTAAGCAGCTTAGGGTGGGCTTCCTGCCCTTTAATTCTCCGTGTTACTTTCATATGTTTAATAAACAAGGGAACCAACTCTTATGTCATATAAGTGTTGTGGTAATTTAAATAACATTTGTGAAGTAGTCAGTTGCTATAGTAAGGAAATTATTAACTCTGTTTTCAAAGAGTCTAAATAATGCCCTAAATAAAGACTTACGGCCACCAACTAAGGAGAGAGGTTGAAATGTCAAATAACTGCTGACTAACTGAACCACGTTCATCCTGTAATTAGGTTATTTGTAGGACTGAGTATTTAAAAAATACGTATCTTGAATTATATGGATAGGGGAGCCAAATTAAAGTAATACTGCTGAGCTTGAATCTCTATTTTCCTCCTTTCATATTCATGTATAACTTTGCAATCCTAATTTTCTTCTAGCAGAATTTCATGGACATGTATGATGCTGTCCAGAGGAGATTCACTATGAATCTGTTTTGATCTGTCTTGTGTGAATATGAAGAATAGCCTCTTAAAATTACAAATGCATGTATTAAACATATATAAGCTTTTAATTTCCTAAAGAAAAATGCAAAGGAAACAATTTTTACTTTCTTTACTTAGTGTATACTCTCCAAAATAAATGAATTATTAATGCTAAAGCTACAGCACTAAAAATATGATAACTGTATCTTTATGTTATGGCTTTCTTTGAGAAGCAGCCAAAAATAGGCTTTTTTGGTATTGAGCTCTCTGTCTGTGGGTTTTTCTGTGGTAAGTTACATATAATCCACAGGTGGCTCTGTTACTGTATAAACACATAGATTTGTATAAATGCCGTTTATCAGATTTCTTTCCACCTTTCTGTGTACGCACTGTTATACTAGAACATATTTTCTCCTTAACTCATGGATAAGTGCTGGTTTACACCACAAAGGTTTTATCCTTTGTCTTGTGAATGTGGTTTTGTGCATTTTCCCATGAATATTTTGTAGTGTTTTGTCAGTTAGAAACTAACACTGTACTGTATCAATAAATCAAGATGTGACAGGTGTTAAATGTTTTTTGAATCTTACTTGATTTCTTCCAAGATGATTCACACAAAAAGATCTTCAAGACACTTAGATGTGTAAAGTCTGTTGCTTTCTTCGGTCCAGAAAAACTGCACGGCTTTTAAAATTTTCTCCCATCACTTAACCCTTTTTATTTTATGCTATTAAGGATTTTATTTCTTTTGAAAAGAAAGATCCCTATAATTTGTTGGTGCTAATACACTTGCTACTATAGAAATACATATGCATCAAAATATATTGTAATTAAATTTAATGCATCAAACATTATTTATTCTAAATAATTTTCCTATTCTAACAATGAAGATTTTTATTAATCCTTAGAAATACCAGTATGAAGACACAGATGCAAGTAGAAGCATGCATTGTATACACTATAAATTTTCAAACAAATATGGTTATGATTGTTGCTCTCCCTCAGACTGTTAGGATTTAGAGTTGCTTCTGGTAACATGTTTTTAAAAATGTAACAGAAATTTGTTTTGAATTGCAATCTTCCTGTCCTTTCTTCTTGAGGTTGAAGTGGATCGTTTCCAAGATACAAAGAGACTTCTTCATGACTATTATAGGGCAATGGAAGGAAAAATCCCAACAGATGATGGTCAAGATTTTACTAGAATCCCATTGTTAGATATTATTGATGTAGAGCAGAAAGAAGATCAAAGGAAATCAAGGAGGTAGAAATTCATTATTAAATTATACAAATATCAACAAATACAATGCACTGATAGCTTTGTGGGTGTATGTGGAAATACATGTGTGTGTATTTCAAAGGACAGGGAAATAAGAATTTTAAAGTAGGATTATAGTCAAATGATGAATCTTGAATCATCTTATAGGTTTATTTTACCCCTGATTTTTTACTGATTTATCTATATAAATTTCACTAATGCATCTCTGAATTATAAAATATTTTAAAAGCTGCCTTAGAAAGAAATCTTCTCTAGAAATGTTTCCTACTTCCCTCCGTGTTGCTGACAGTTTCCAGCACAATCCTCACATAACTAAGTTAAATATTATTATGGCACATTAACAGGTTTAAAATTTGCACCAACAAACCTTAATAAATGGGTTATGTAATGACAAATAGAAATCAAAGCAGCCTAAAAAGATGCACAGAACTGAATGCCGTATTAAAAGGTGAGGAATGCCCTCAAATAATTTCACAATATCAAAATGCTGTCAATAATGACCCCTGGTTTTTTTAATGCTTACAGTTCATTTAGAAATTATCTGAGTAATGAAGCTATGCTTCTATCCTGTGTGGAACATATCAGCAGATCACACAATCATTTGATGTAGTTTTACCCGTCTATTATTATTGCTTAGCTTCTGTAGTTAAACTAGACAGTTTTCTTGTCATCTACACATTTCACCACTTTTGGTCGTAAGGAAAGTTTGTCCCTTTTCTGTTGCTATGGCAAATTTTGAACATAGCGTTCTCATTCTCTTAACATATTCTCCAATGTAGTGATAAATTAACACTTTTTATAAAGAGAGGTGTGAATTATACCTTGTATTTTATTTTTAAGAATTCCTCTAGTTTCTTGGAAACTGCCTTCACCAGAAATAAATATTATGAAGTCAAAAAGCAAGGGAACTCTGCAGAAGAGTGCTAAGGATGAGAATTTTGAAAATGGAGTGGCTTCTTTTCGGAAAGATGAAAATCTTATTACTGATACATGGCAAACAGCAGTAACAGCGGTATCGAACATGGTGAGGAATGTTTTATTTACTTTAACATTTCTGGATCAGACAGTCAAAGCCTCCCATTCAGTAGGCAGCCTAAACACACAGCCTTCGCACTATGTATCTCAATTTCATGCCTTTTGCTCCACTACTGATATTTCCATTGAATAGGTTTGTGTTTGTATGAGGAAGATGCTGGAATCTGTGTATTATCAGCACCTCTGTATTTATGACTGACCCTTTCATTCCATTACTGAGAGAAATACTTTGAATGTTGACTGTATATATCTACTTCTTCCATTATAAACTCTCCCTTTATCCCTCAATAGAAGCATGAGAACAGGGACACATTTTATCCTGTGATGCAATGTGTGCTCAAACCTTTCACAACTTCAGATGCTATTGTTACATTCTTTTTTGTATATAACTAAAAGTAAATTAGGTGGGCTTTTCAAATGGTTGGTCTCTAGGTTCGCTTTTTCTTTTCTCTTTGATCATTTTAAAATAAGTGAATTTCCGCACCCTTGCGGTGCAACTGTAGTCTTGCTTTGCATACTGTTGATTCTTCTATTTCTCACTTTTTCCTTGAGTACAGGTAATAGGTTACAAGAATTAGAACCACTATCTGTCTTGCATTTTTTCTACAGAATTTTATTTTTGACAATCAAAATGTAATCAATTTAATTAGTTAAAATATCTCCTTTGTTTTATTTATGTGTGTATGTCTCAGCAAGTACTTTCAGCAAGTACAGGCTGTTTAAAACAGTAATTCCATAGTGTTGATACTATGTGCTTTACTATGTGTGACTATGCATGTCAAGGTAACAGCTGAAATACAGTCTAAAGAAATGGAGGAAGAAAAAGAACGTCAGCAGCTAGAACTGAAAGAAGATCTGAAATCTTCACAGACACTGGCAGGCAAAACTGCCAGGAAAGATACCAAAGATGCCAAAAATCTTTCTCCCAAATCATCTACTAAAAAGAAAGGTAATTGAAATGCAGACTTTGTTTTAGCCGTGCTTGAAATTACTGAAATGTAAATATGTGAGTAATACAGAAGAGAGTAAGCCAAGACATTTAATTTCAAATTATTTTCTCTTTTGGAATGTCAAATGTGACATATCAATGTGAAAAGCTGATAGTGCTAAAGGAGTGCAGAGGCTTTTGAATGGCAATTGCATTTATTTAATGATATGTGTTGTCATTTCTATTATGTAGGAACAAATATTCTAAATAGAACATAAAAAGTAAATATGAATTTTTCTCCATATGCTGTTTTGGAATTGAATAGCCAAAAGTAGTTTATCAAATTAAATAAAATTCCATTAAATTCTGCCTACTTTCCAGCCATAAGTCAAAATATTTCAAATATTGTAATAAAAGTACTGGAATAAAATGCATACATTATCCAATACCCCAAGTTATTTTGAAATTAATTAATCAGCCATATAGTAGCATGGATCTATCAAGGTACACCATTTTTATAGATAACCGTAACATGGTGTAAGTAAAGAACATGAAATCTAACAGCATATGTAGTCCTGAAAAAAAAGCAGACTCCCATTGAGGTAGATCCTGCTCATAGGCCTGGCAAGAATCTACCCAACCAGGTGAGAGTACAAAATTTGTTTGCACAAGAGAGACAGACCTAAAAACCCTATCTCTTTAGCCCAGCAATTCAGGCAGTCTGCTGGAGGGAATTCTGGCATGCAATGCTGTTTATACATTTTTCCATAAATACTTCCTTGAGCAGGTAGTGGTTTAAGTAACTTCCACTTCTTTCTGCAAAATGTCATAGCTCCAGCAGGAAGCAAGGCTAGTAGCCTAAACCGTCTATCTTTTGTAAAGACATTCTACATAGGAAGAGAGAGGCTCAAGCCCTGTGGGCATGAGGGTAGCCTGAAATTCAGGTACTCCATTTCCAAGTGAGAGAGCTGTAACTGCAAAGTTATAATCCATACAGTAGCTGACTTTTTTTCTTTGATAGATATTTTATTTGCACTATACTCAGTGCTCGTACTCTGGTTGATTCTGCTCATAGTACCCTGAACAAGTATAGCCCTGTAAATACTTAGCCACATGGATACCTAATTTGTGAGCCCCAGGGAGCCTTAGATGTATGCTTAGCTTCTCAGTCCAGCCAAGAGAATAGCAGATTTTCAGATTTCTAGGAAAGCTTTGTGATAAAAAATCAGCAGCTATCACCTATTGTATGCTAAGTGGCTAGGTTGGGGTTTGTGGGTTGCTTCTTGGAACTAAATTTTTCTTCAGACCTAGTACTAGGTGACTTACCTGAAAACACAAAACTGTAAAGTGACAGAACTGCAACTAGAACTCAGCTGAGCATTCCTCCTTGTAGAACATGAAGTATCAACTGATGTATCTGTAACTGATTTATCAACTTTGATTTCATGCCAAATACAGTGTTACTGTAGTGCTTCTGTAACAGAATTCCCTAGGATACAGCTATATGCTAGTAACAGAGTGATACAACTTATCACATGTAATTTTATCACTTCTAGGTTTGACCATTTACTTTTTATTGATCTTATGTATCATGCAGATGTCATTATTTTTTTCTATAACAGCTCCATCTGCTCTTCTTCTAGGACAAAGCATTTACAGATATTCTAATATTTTTCAGTAATTGTCAAAGTGTTGTGACTAGAGTTTTACATAATCTTTAAAAACACAGTAAAATACCTTTACAGTGTTTGTTCATAGATAGGTCAGTTAAAACAAGCTGCAAAAGCAGCTGACAGAATGATTTAGAAAGGCATGAAATAACATACCTGTCTTTTTTTTCCTTCTGACATATTATTTTAAAAATACCATTATCATTCTTTTCACTGGTTTGATGGTAACCAAAGATATTTACTAACATAACATTTTTACTACAGTTTACCAAACTTGAATTTGAAAGAACAGTTATCATTCCAAAAGAGGTTTATTTATGTGCTGATTGTGATAAATTGGTAGATTTTGGTGTCAAAAGAGGATATTTTGACCATCTAGGATCACAATGGAGGCACACCTACTCAGTCATGATTTTCCATTCAGAAATATATTTTAGCATGATATTTTAACCAATTTTAATGTAGTTGTATATGCTGGAGTAATTTTATGCAGTGTTAACCTTAGCATGTCTTGCAGATGTAAATCCCATTTGAAGAAATCTAAATATATTATGTTGACATAAGACACCTGACTAACCACCTTTGTATTCTCATAAATGATCACATCAAGTAGGCTGGAAAGTGCCATTTTTCATTTAAAAAACTGCACTGTGTTGCGAATGCTTCTGTACTGACACAAACTTATCAGCAAAGTCCAAAGACTGAGAGGTCTGTTTTCCTGCAGGACCACCTTCTACCGCATCTGTGGTTGAAGTCAGTCCAGTTCCTATAACCCCAGAAGAATTAAAGAGACAAGAACTGACACTTAAAATAAAGCAAGAATATTTCAGTGCTTTGAAACATGAGGGTATGTTACTATTTGGTTACTTATATTGGGGGGGTGATTGTTATTCCTAATTTAGGTAGTGTAATAGTCAAAAAGAGACAGAAACTCCAGGGAAAATGGATCTATAAGTAAGAAAAAGGAGGGGAGAGAAAGGAGCATCTGGAGAAACTAGGAATTTTTTTAGGGTGGTAGTAATCAGTGATTTTTTGGTAAATATATTTAAAATAGAAATATATTTTTCATTCTTCTTTTTGTTCTCTTCTCTTTCATGTCATTTAATTTCATTTTTGATGACTAAGCAAGCATTCATCATGAGAGAATAAGTTTCTCAGGTGGTTAGCCACTCTTCTATATTCAATTGAATTGAACTCAATATTTGAAATGTTTTGATCTGGGAAAGAATTTGTTAGTGATTATATGTTTCATTGGTGAGCTTCTCTCTGTTTCCCTCTTCCTCAAGCTGTATGGGATTCAAGAAGCAAGACACAGATTTTGTTCGTTCTTCTAAACTCCTTTCCAGACAGACCTTTCAAAAAACTATGTGTTGTTTGGTTGTTCTGTCTCTTTGTCCATCTTACCCAATAACTTCAAAGCCAAGTGGTCAATTTCAGCCAAAAGTAGATGTCTGAAAAACAGAAGTCACAAACTGAAAATGGGTTGAAATTTTTTTTTGAAGATGGATTTAGACTAGAAGAAAAAGACCTCTTTCTTGCTAAAAGGAAAATAAAACCTAGCTGTTAGAGATTCTGTTTGGCAACGCTTGGCAAGCCCATCATCATGTATGTTATCTCCTTGGCAGGCTAACTTTTGCAGACTGTTTATTATCAAAAGTAGAGGGAAAACAGCAGTTAATGAACAAAACACAAATTCATAAGGCTTCTTTAGGTCCACACCAGACCGAATGCTTGTACACCTACCACTCTTAACACGGTTTAGTCCAAAAGCAGTTTAGGAATAAATATTCTAAGATTTGGGGATAATGAGGAGAGGAATGGCAGTAACTTTGGAGTTCTTAATAGTATGAAGATAAATTTTAGTGATTCATTGACACATTTTGATTTCTTGAGGTTGCTTCATTTTCATCTTATATTCAATAAAAAAGCCAAGATAAGAACCTAAGGAAGACTAAACATATTGAGCTATATTTCATAATTGCACAGGCACATTGCTGTTACATTTGAGGATCACAGTTTCACTTGCAGCTATGGTAATTGGATGCTTGTGCTTTGGTTATACAGATACATAGAAACTAGCAAAGTCACTAGTTGTGGATAGTAGCTAAGTTTTTTATGTAGATTTCATATTCCATTTCTTTGTTGCATCCAAGTGCCTTGCCTTTTAATCTGCTGCTGTGAAGAGAGCAGCTTTATCAGTGAACTGTGCAGTACCTGATTCTGAAAATGCAGGGAGACAAAAATTGTTGTACACTTCGTAACATACTGATAACAGCTACTCAAAGAAAATGCAGAGAAGTCATAAATAAGGCAGCTTTAAACTGTATTAAAGAAAGGTGATTAGACGGGCACAAAGCATCCTCCAAGGTACTTTCAGTTGCTTAGAATCTTTACTTTTATGTCTTTGCCATCAAATAAAACAACCCTCTGTGAGACGCAAATCCATTCTATTTTTAAAATTTTGAGCATAAACTCTTTCTTGCTCAAAACAAAAAGTGTGCAGAGTTGCATTCTACTGTGACGAAGAAATAACATTAAAAGGACATGCCTTATATTTTTCAGGGTCCATCTTTCTACATTGGTTGCCTAAAGAAAGTTTCAGCCCCAAACCTAAATATTTTGAGAACTTAGTAGTGTACAGAATAAGGATTATAATGTAAATAATTTAAGTCTTTAACTTTGAAGTTACTGTACCAATTACTATATAATATTGATCACTTAAAATATTCTGCAGTACCGAAGGTTAAATATCAAGGAAAAATCAAGTCAAATACTGAATTTGCCTTCAGGATTGAAAATAATCTCTAGCTACCGGTCCTCTTTTCTTACTCTTCTTTTTAAAGGCTTTGGAAATCTTTCAATACCTGTTCCATGTGTCTCTTAATACACTACCTTAGCTGTTTGATACAGTTGGCATCCTTTTCACTTTGGACATTGCTGACTTGTTCCCGTTTGTTGTCTTTTTAGTTCCATTTTTTTTAAAGATTAGCCTCTCAGTGAGAGAGTAATTTTTTTTCTCAGTTCTTCCAATTTTGAAAACTAAAAATCATTAAATTCTTAATGTTTTTAAAAGTTGTGTGTAAATAGTCTATATGTAATTTTGGTAGAAGTGAATTATTTCTTAGTGCTACTAACCAAACTTTTTCTAATGCAACCTGAGTTTTAGGGTATAAAATAGTCATATGCAGGAAGCTTGGAGCAAAACCTATGAGGTTAGTTTTAAAGGGCTGGAGAATAGAAACAGAAAAGCAAACTTTTATTGTCATTAACATACATAATGACTTAGATGTGTTTTCTTTAAAATTTATCCATAACAAGGTACTCACACTTGCATCCTTAAGCTTCTAGGTCTGTTGCTGCATAGTGTTAATTCAGTTCAATGTCACTGTCTACTTAAACATCTCCTGCACCTCTGTATTAGTTTTATTAAGATATTTGTTACCTTGTGAATTCTGATGCTTACAGAAGACACACTTTTGTAAAATACATGGTGTAGTAGGGGTGATTCTGAAAAATAATTTGTTCAAGAGTATGAGAAATTAAATAAATATTTTACTGCCTAAAACCAGGCTAACATGTTAAACTTCAGATACTTAAGACTGAGAATTTATAAATATTAAATATTATGACATTACTGTTTAAACAGAGGTAGCCACAAAATCTCGACTAGAACTTATAAAAGAAAAAGCTTTAGAATTTGTTGAAGAGCTAACAGTAAAAGCAGAAGAGACTTACAAAGATATGGAAAAGTGGCTTGGATCCAGGTTCTTGGCAGAAATGTCCAGGTAATGTATACACCATTTGAAACAGGAACCTTTTCTTCTCAAACTAAACTATGCTAGTGAAGATACTTGTTTACATAGAAGCGAATAATTTGAAAAAAATATGTAGAAAATAATAATTTCATTTCATGAACTGGAATTTAATTTTATCTTAAATAACTGAATGGTAATAACTCATTTCATGGATGATTAGAAGGTTCTGCTGGCAGCAGTAGAGGTAATTATCAGTTCTGCTGTTTTTCTAGACTACAGATTTACGAGATTTACAAGCATCAGCAGACACCAGTTATTCCATTTAGCAGAAGCCTCTATATCATTTCAGTGGCTTCCGTCACTTTGAATTGTGGGGTTGTTTTCTGAGCTTTACACATACTGGAAAATTCCATGTACTGTTATTACCACCATGTATAACATTTCTCAAAATTATTTCAAGGTCCCTTAAAAAAAATTCTTCACAATTTTTCTGTCCTAGTAAATAAAATGTTTTTGGGACCACTCTATGACACTTAAGCCATCAGGTATAAAATGGCCTATGTCCATATCGTGAAAGGATTTTACTGTCTAAAAGAATGGGGTCGCTTTGTGTTTTGGAAAATGTTTCTAGCCTGTACTAACTTTTCGAGCAAAGCATACCTGGGACAGTGCTAGTTGATCTGTGTCAGAACAGCCCAAGACAAGGGGCATGAATGTAGGATGTGAAGGCTCTAAATAGCTCAAAGAGGCTGAGCTCTGCATTCCAGACAGTTTTATTTGCTCTCCTGACAGCAAGTGCTACCAAAGCCACAATATTTACAGGACATGATGTCCTTTGACCTGGCACCCCAGGCCAAATCTATGTCTAGTTAAATGTTATAGGCAGCTGATGTCTTTCCCTGTATAAATTGTACTTATTACACTAGATACAGGAGTTCGTATGCCCCTGCACAATGCTACTCTAGAAAGCGCTTTGTACATCTAAGATTTAGGGGCAAAGCGGAAGACAAAGTATTGAAATAGGCTAAAAGGTAATTACAGATGGAATATGTATGCTCCACCCCTATAAAATTTATGGAATAAATTAAGTCTTATCTTTTCATATTTTTCCATCAGGTCTCTTCTGTGGCTCAGATCTGCCTTTGTATAAATTTGTAACCACAGTTAAAAGATTTCTTGCTGCCAGAGGAGGAGTACACTTCATAATGATTTTGATGAGTACAGAATTTACACAGAGGATTTGTAATCCTTGCGTCAGGAAAGCTGTTAAAGTGTAAACATGTTATAATTTGAACCTAAGTTATTAACATTGTGTACTAAAAGTATTCATTGTTTTCTGCATTTACACTTTCACAGCATTGAAAAGCTGATTGAGGTTGCACGACATCATATTGAGAGTTCTAGCAAAATCCAGTATGAAATTACTTTAGAAGAAACAGATTTCTTTATCAGCAGTGATGTAAAAGTGATTCCTGACCCTGTTCCTTCACCACATGTTCCACACATAGAAACCTCTGGAAGTGGTACTCTCACTATTTCACAACTTCATACACTTCATAAGCAGTTTCTACAAGTGGCACCTAAAGGTAAGAAAAATTTTTCCTTTTCACTCCTGAAGGACTATTAGTTACCTACTTAAAATTTAAAGTAACTGCTGGAAGCTACTAAACATTAGTTACCTGTATTGTTAAAGATCGTACTACAATTAAAGATCCTGCTACATATAAAAGTAAAGTCGTAGTGCAGAATATTGAAAATGTGACACACCAGACCACTTGAAAGCTTTTAATGTCTTTGCTATGGGCTTTATATCCTCAAGACCATGTACTTAATATTCCTCTAACAAGTGTCTCTGTAATGCATTTTTAAGAGTGGTATGTATCATGCTTACTTTACTTAAAGATGCAAGTCTTTAACTTGTTTATGAATTCATAGCTAAGTGAACACTGAAGCTATATTATTTTAAAACATATTTAAAGATATTTTCATGAAACTATTATATAAAGTCTACTGTAACTATTAACCATTACATTCTTCAAGTCAATATGTGCCAGTTTTTTTGGGTGATTTGCAAGTGTTAACTCATATATATTTTTTTTTTTTTTTGCTTTGTACATGTATTTGTTATGTGTGTACCCTCCAATTATGGGAACCTTAGGCTTAGGATACTTGAAAAGACTTTCTTGCAGAACTTGCTACTGCTGTATAAATGTTACTAAATAATTTAGATAAAGCAGTTTTAAACTGAGATGGAAAGTAGTTAAACACATACTTGCAGAGGATTTCATTACTACCAGTGTTCCATATTACAATTATAATTGTAGGGTTGGCACTAAGATAGTGAAATACAATGTGTAAACAGGTACTTAAAATTCTGGATCCAACTCTTCCAGTGTAATAAAACCACAAAAGTACACTTAAGTTTAATTCAATTCTTTATTCAGAAATGTTTTTCATGTATATTTATGGAGAAATTCCAGTTACCTTTTGAGCATGAACGCATTTTAGGCAGAAAGATGTTTACAGTTTTCCTTTAGAGAGATGCATATCATCTTATCTATAGGGTAGGAGCATGGGAGTGTGTGTAAGTATTCCAAACTCTTCTATAGAGATTAGATTAGCAGATAGTATTGCATATGTAATGCCATGTGAAACTAAAAATCTGTACATTTGTAATCATTAGATAGTACCATAGAAACACAGATACCAGTCTGACTCATCATTCCAATTAAAAGTTTTGGGTTTTAAGTTGTTTGTTCATTATGATATTTAAAACCAAAAAAATTTGTCTGATACAAACTCTAATATTCTTGACACATTTAAGACAGAACAAATATTTTCCCTGTACATTTGTAATAATTAGCAAGAAGACAAATGAAATCTTTATCTTTCTACAATATTGCCCTTTTGATAATATTATATTCTCTAAAATGACCCAAGATGACTTGCACAGCTGCCCAAAAAGGTAAATATCTTGACTTAATAGTCACCAGACAGTAAAAGAATGTTGTTGCATGCTCTCCGGGACAATAGCAAGGAATTATTATTTAGGATAAGGTCCCAAAGAACATAAACTAGCATTCTTCTACTGTCTGGCAGCTATTAAGTCAAGATATTTACATTTTTGGACAGCTGAATTAGTATGGGAAGCACAAGCTGTGCAAGTCATCTTTAATATACTTCCTCCCATTCTCTTACACACTTTAAGACGCATAAATCATATCACAGATTTCCTAAGGCAACCACTCTCCTTCATTATAGAGACTTCATAGGAAGAGTTAAATCCTTCCTCTCCGAAAACATCAGAAAAAATTTTCACATCCTTCTGTCTCCCCTTGTTCAATAGAATGCTCAACAGAAAACACATGCCTCCTTGGTGGTTAGTCTCTTACTGAACAAAAGAGGGAAAACCACTGAAGCGCCCAGCACGCTGGCAGTGAAAGTGTTGGACAGCAGCTCTAAAGGAGATACAGAAAAGTAACAAACTAATTCCTGTCTTGAAGAACCTCTAAACAGATCTAGATTTGCTGCCAAGTATCTATCTTGGTCTTCTAATTCTTACTCACCTGAGCAGTCCTCTGAGCATTCAAAATGGAAACCCAAACAAATGAGCACATGAGGCATAGACTATAGCACAGGTCTAAATAGAGTAAATCTACTAATCTTCTGTACTATGTAAATAGCAAAATTCCTAAGGTTGTTCTGAAAACGGAGTGTTAGGCTTATTTTCTATAGCATTATGGAGATTACATGAAAAAGAATTTTACCTAGAAATCCAGGCAAAGCAAAGAGTTACAAAGGAGAAAGGATTATGTTGGAAAAAAATAAACATGTAAACCATTTTCTCACAGGATATTTGGTAAATGTCAAAAGGATGTCTTACAAGTTATGTTTAACAAAATGTCCAAAATGAAAGCAAAAAGTGGGAGTGTCAATATACTCAAAAATTGTTTGATGTTTACAAAAGAAATCTTATTAAAATTGTAAACAGCTTTGTGTTTTCTAGGAATTTAAAGTATTAAAGAACTGCTGATTCATCACAGACACCTTTGTTCTACCGTGCACACTTGGTTCTCCATAGAAGCACATTACTCGCCATTCTAAGCATCGATGGACAAAAAATATAGCCTATGCTGGACCTTCCTACCTACTGACAGAGTCTTTCATTTGATAAGAAAATACTTCAATTATTGTTTGGGTTTTTTTATTATTTGAAGTGCCATTGCCCAAACTCAAGGTGGCTCTGCAGTGTTTGTTAATTTCACTAACTGCTTTGATGAATTTGTTAACAGTGCTGTAATATATTGGGTTTTTATAGGAAGAACTATGGGAAGTCTTAAATGGAGCTACGAACATTCACTTTTTTTTCTTTTCTCTTCTACAGTCTCTTTGGATGTGTTCTCTTTCTACCAACAAAATTAAACTAATCATCTATTAGATCTCATTCCCTTTGATTCCCTTTAACATTGTATTCTTCCTATGACCACATCTATGATCAATTAGCACACATCTGGAATGTCTCAATTTTCTTCTAAGGGTGCCTCAGAGAATGCTATTTTGGTAATGTTTTGCATTATTAAACACGTCAAAATAGATTCTATCCCAGACTTTTGTTCTCTTATGACTGAATTATTATCTTATGACTGAATTACACAAGGGAATTTTAAATTTTATCCATTTTTTCACAGTCATGATCCTCATGAACGATTTCAGTTTGTAGAACTGATTATTCATCAGAAATAAACTTCAGTCAGGTTTAAAAAAACTTCTATATCCAATATCCAAAAAATGTTTAAAATGCTTGTTTATAAAATGATAAAATAGTCTGCAAAGATGTGAACTAATAAAACACAGAGGACAGCCTATGACCAAATTTCATTTCAAATTGTGGACCTGGCAATTGAGTTTTACTGTGTTGCTAGATTTGGAGCAGATAGGCATATTAAAGTATACATTTAATTCACGTGAAATTTTACATTTTTAATAGAATATTTTGTTGAGTGGAACAGTCAGAATTGTATGCTGACCCTGAATAATGTCTATAGATGATGATTTCCATTCCCAAGCACTTTTGTAGAAAAAACTCAAGAGCTTATGATAGTAATCCTCATGATCTGACTTTGATCTGAAGAGAGAGTGAAGTCCATATGTGAACACAGAAATAAGTTCATCATTCTTAATTTATCTTTTCTAAGACTATATTTCTTTTCAACGTGCTTTTTTTCAAAACTTCAAAAATAAGGAAGGTTAAGTTTGTAGACAGGGGAAGGATGTTACTAGACAAACGATATAGACAGAAAATGCCTAAAATTTGGGGATATAAAACCCTTAATCGGAGGTCCAGAATTGATACAATACCTCTCCCTACAGATAATGGAAAATTCAGTAATTCTAATGACTTAATTTCACTTACAGCTCCAGTTATGTCTCTTACTAAATCATGTATGTTATTTGATTTCAGAAATCTGTGACTGTTTGCCTATGGTGTTTAAAACTCACTGTATCCAATTACTTTTATGAAACATATTTAACATGTTTGTATATGTTTCTGTGCCTTTGAATATATATATCCAAGTATTAAGATTTCAGTCAGCATAACAGAGGAACTCTCCTTTCCCCTCATTGCATCTACACAGCAATAGGTATAGCTTACGCTGTGTGATTCTAAATTCTTGCTAATTAGTGAAGAGTGGACATAACATAGCAGAATCAGTAATAATTAGTGAATAAATAAGGTAAATATTCACAGTGAAAATCAGCTGCAGGGGGTAATGACTATCAATATCTCGGAGGGAATGAATTGTATCTTTAAGTTTCCTGTCTTTTTCAGCTAAGGACAGAAGTATGCCATATTCATAGCTTCTAGACTACTAAAATTAGATTAATATGATTCAGCCTCAGGGGTTACTTCACTCATTCATCTCTGATAGCATTGCTGTAGACTCTACTTGCACAGATCATCATTCAAACTTCTGGTCAGAAATTGCTATGGAAATATTTTTCTCAGTGAAAATGGAAGGGAATAGGAATCTGTTTAAATGTTTCAGTAAAATTTGATGAAAAGGGAATAAAATAACATAATTCGCATCTCTAGTATGAGTTTACAGTCTTCACATTTTGTTATTTGTGTAAATTTATAATCTGAATCTTTACTACAGTTCCTCAGTTGAGGAAGGTATTTTCTTACAGTACCTGTATGAAAATATTCTGCTGACCAGTGTATCATTAAGAAATAGTCTCTTTTGTATATCTGTGCCTTATAACTGAGGCATGGTGATTGCTCTTTATTTCTTATGTCCCTTTAAAATGTCACAGTCCTGGTTCACAGGTTACACTTCTAGTGTACACTTATGCTGCTGTCATTCTTAATGTTCCTTTTTGAACGTATCTTTTTCTGTTTCCAGTTTCACTTGTCATCATAATCTGAATTTCTTCACTAATTAATTTTTGCATTTGTTTATTATATTTCAGCACTGCTTATTGAAACACATAAAAGCTTGTCCATGTCACCTTGTGTATCAGTGAATGATGCTTGCTTTTAAAAAGATGTTAATGAAAAATAATTCTACCTTGGGTAGCTTTTTCT